AATTATTGGTTATAATGTCGCCAGACAGTTTTATGTCAAATGGTGGCCCAGGTTCCAGCAAGAACCAATAGTTGATCGTGTCAAACAGGAGTTTACAGTCAAGGTCCCAACCCCAACAGTAGTTCAGGCAACCCCACCAACTCCAGTCAGACAAGTCATGCCTCCTCTTAGGATTTCTACTCCAGAAGAGCCCAAGAAATCCACTAAGAAAGATCCCAAGCAAGAGAAATCCTCCTCTAAGGATTCCAGTAAACAATCCAAGAAGACAGTTGCTTTCATTGAGCTAGCACAATAGCTTCTTCAACAAGCAGTCAGTGAAAGCAATTCTTCTGCATCATCACAGGCGTCAGTCACCCCTACATTGGATCCATTCCAAGACAGTCAGGATCCATATGTAGGATATGATGATCTGGTAGATATATCTACCCCATAATGATACTTGTCTATATGTGTGATAGCTTCAATCACTACTTTCTTCAATAAAGAAAGAAAAGTTGTCTATTACATATATCGATGAGATATTATTTGGCACTCCAGATCTTTCCCCTAGTAAAGATGCCACCAGCCATCTGTCAAAATCTGCTTTCCACCGAAAGTAGATTCTTTCTGACAATAGCAGGACCCACCTGCCATTTAAGACAACATTCACATGGGAAAAAATAATTTACCTCTACTTTCCCACCAAAAGGCTAAGGTGAAACCACTGTACCCAAATTAAAGCATCCACTGAAGACAACAGAGTAATCCTTCCAAAGATTCCTTCAGAAGTCCTTACGCCTATATAAGGACTTCAGTCTTCACTCTCTAAGCAAGCTTTGAGCCTTTAGTAATTGTTTTGCAAAGCTTTGACACCAGAAAGCTCTCTTAAGCCTTCAATATACAAAGCTCACTATCCCCATACACTATCCCTATATTGTAAGAAGCCTTTATAATGATGCAAATGAAGTGCCTCTCACTCTTATCTCATTACATCCATTAGCCCATTAGTGCTAGTGTTGTAAGTTTTTATTTTCTGTAACTTGTATCTTGTTCTTATAAACAAGATTTTATAAAAAAAAAACTTATTTTACCACTCTTATATTTACAGCTTGTGATTCTTCTAAATCATGTCTGTTTTATTCCGCACTTGTTTATTAATTTGGTATCAGAGCCATTTGACGGCCTGGATAGCCATCCATACAGTTATATTTGAATATTCTTACTTATGTTAAATCTCTTCCATTTCAATTTAGTAAATTATTATTTAGTTTGGTCAACCTTTGTCACCTAGCCTTTGTTGGTTCAAGAGGGGCAAGTCTCAATTCAATCCTGTTTGTAAGTCCTTGTGTGTAGGCAACCTTATGACACAGAGACATACCATGAGAACATGTATGTTAGGGGGTATGTACAATGGAGTCAAACTTAAACATAAATTTATATAATTGAAAAATTAGATTTAAAAATGAGTAGATTATTCAGATCTAACTCTATAGCTAGCTCATCTAGTTCTTCATTTAGTACTATACCTAATATAGTAAATGAGGAAGAAGAAGAACACCATGAGTCACAAGTAGATTGGAGTGGATGAAATATCCAAAGGTATCCCATAGAAATATCTATAAGATGAGTTGGGTTCCAAAAGCATTCAACTCAGAACTTCAAGTAAAAACAATTGAACAAGTTTATGCTCTCAGCAAAAAGGAAGAAACTTGTCAATTAATTAGTAAAAAAGCCCTACAAAAACATAGGAAAAAATGTTTTAATTTTATACACCTTGGTTTAGTTCAAGTAGCAATTAAACTATTGATGTCATCAGGAAAAGATGCAGCAGCTCTATTAACCCTAAGAGATGCCAGATTCCTAGAATATGAACCTAGTATTTTAGGAATAATGGAGACTGGTCTTCATAACGGACCAGTTTATTTCAAATGCTTTTCAGACTTTACCCTTAGTCTCAGTTGTAAAAATACACCTATGGCTTTAACCTTAGGTATAAAATTGTCAGGTCAAATTACCAAACTGGTAAAAGAAACCCAATCTTTAGTACTTATCTATATGATATACTTTAAATGCATGACTACAAACCTGAATGTACATGCACCTTATTTTTGTTGAGCGTGTTATTGTTTAATGCAACACTTTTGGATTTAGATAGGATAAAAAAGTTATCATTGAAAATTTAATATAAGATTTGAGTTTCCCTCAATTTGGTTCCAGAACAAGTTTTTCCATTATTTGATATAAGTTTGAATCTAAAGTTGGAGAAGTTTTTTAAACTATTTTGATTCAAATTCAAATTCAAATTCAAATTTGAGTCAGAGTTAGAAATGCTCTTATATGTTAATAAGTTTATAGTACTTATAAAAAATATGAATACAATATCAAAATTAATTGAGTTGTTAATTTTAGTTTTGTTCTACAATCATTAATTATAAAATTACAGAGTCTTTTACCTTCACCCCACCAATTCAAGCCACCTTCTCTTTTCCGCCTTTTTTTCCTCTATTTATCTCTTTCTTCTCTCTTTTAATCGACTCAACCATGCAAAACACACACACACACACACACACTCTCTCTCTCTCTCTCTCTGTGCAATGTTGGTCATCCTACAATTCAGACCAAATAATCCCCAAATTAAACTACCACCTGCCACCTCATGTCCCCTCCTTTAACCTCCAACACCGACCACCCATTTTGAACCTCCAGGCTCCAGCCCACCATTGCACCCTAACCCCACCAAACACCCAATACAATTTTGGGCAAAATCCAGTTTACTCCCTCGTGGTTTGTGCCTTGAACAGATGCCTGACGCCCTATGATTTGGAAATAAGCACATCACCCCCTGTGGTTATGGACTAAACTGTAACTCTCACATTTTTCGTCAGAACAGACGAAAATGGAGTGGATGCGCTGGTTTGGCGATTGATGAACGAAGTAATCAGCTTCCCTCCAAAATAAATATACACAAATGTCAAAAATGACCCTCTAATGCTATGATAAAAGCTTGAGCTTTTCATTTCTTTCGGAAGGCTGGGCTTGCTGCTTTCTGGAGCTGAAGGAAGGAAGCTACCATAAAAAAAGTAATTTATTTAAGCATATTTTTGAGTAATATAATGGCTAATAAATTACTATGATAAAGATTATGCTTTTCTTATTCTAATTATTTTCATTTAAAATGTGTGTAACAACTTCATAATAATGTTTTGTTATAATTGGATGTCATACTCGAGCAACTCAAAGGAAGAGAACCTATGGATTTGAGGTTCAGTACCCAAATATGTGTGTGTGGGCGTAAAGCGATAATCAAAGTGGTTGATTCCGAGAAACCGTCGAAGGGAAGATTGTATTATATTTATGGGACTAGAAATTGTGAATTTTGGCCATGGTGTTTTTCCATTTCTGTTTTGGGCATATTGACTGGTATACCTGCCACTGCAAATGATGATGAAATTGCAAAAATAAGCAATAGGGTGATGATGATTGAAGCTAATCAAGAGGCCATGAAGTCTGAATCAAGAGGCCATGAAGTCTGATCAAGTGACCATGAAGTCCATGCTAAGGAGAATGTTTATTGTACCTGTAATTTGTTTGGTAGTGTTGGTTTTAGTCTTAAGCAAAAACTAAAAACATGTTCTCTATGTTTTGAAGGACTACTTTGTCTTTATGTAATGTGTAGGTGTTTTTTTTTATTTGACACAATATCAAACATTTTAGTCATAAACATCTATGGATTGTTGGACATATAAATATCAAATTCCTATAAGTCACAACCATCAGCTAGTTGTACAAAAAATTTCCAAAAGAGCAAAATGCTCACAACCATTTTCCCATATAACCAAAAAGAAAATACATGTTCAAAACAATCAAAAGAGCACATACACTGTGCACAATCAAAAGAGCACATAATATATTTCCAAAAGGCTCTTTTGATATAACATAGACAAAAAATATTCATACTGAATTATGACCTTTTCTTAGCCCTAATTCTATCCAATAAATTGGATATAGTTGTTTTGTGCACACTCCCAGTAGCATTTAGATTGTCAAGGACACTACTTCTAGAACCTTTCCTAACTGCACCACTCCTAGGACCAACAGTGCAGGCTGCACCAACAGTTGAGGCTGGACCAGTAATGGAGGCTGCAGCAGCAGTAAAGGCTGGACTAATAGTGGAGGCAACAGCAACAGCAACAGCAGCAGCATTGGAGGCAGCAACAGTATTGGAGGCTGTAGCAGCATTGGAGGCTACACCATCAGTGGATTTCTACAATACCAAAAATATAATTTATAATTAGTGTGCTTGAAAAAATAATGCACAAATTATATTTAAAAAAAATCAGTCTTACCCCCAATAACTTTAATTTAGGATGGATCATGTTTTTGCATGATCATTTGTTGTGACCAGTATTCAAGCATTTTGCACATGTGACATTAAGTTTTTTCCTAGAAGCCTTATGGGGGTTTCTAGGCTCATCAACCTCCCTTTTTCTCAATTTTTTTGGTCTTCTAGGTAGTTTCCGGAGTAATGGAGATTTCAATGGATGTATTCCACTATGAACATAATCATGCATGTCAGGGACTAAATGTATCATGTGTGCATACGTTGTTATATATATAATTTTGGTGTAACATACATGCACATGTCTCTAGTAGCTCATGATTTTCTTGTATGACACCTATCGCAGGGCAACAAGTTTGGATCAAGCATCATTCTCTAACTGAACTCAAGGTAACCATCACCTTCTTCATTAGATGACCCGTTTAGACTAAGTAGATCCTCTTCATTTCCTATCTTAGAACACCTTTCCTCTTACACTTGCACATTTACATTTGACTGAGATGGTCCAACATCTTGATTAATAGAAGTTTCAGCCCCATTAGGTGGAAAGTCACTTCTGAAAATGTCATCATCATCTGGACCTTGTATGTCTTCATAAATCCAATTAAGGTCCTCACTATACTCGTCACTATCATAACATTCAAAGGTATTCACTACATAGTCATTTTCATTAGAATCAGTTTTAAGTGTATCACTGTCTTGAATTTGTTCGTTGATATTAACATCAACTTCATCATCCATAGTATTCACAGTATCCCTTGCACAATTTGATGATAACACAGACAGTAGATCATCACATTTGTCAATGTATATTACAACTACTGATAGGTCTTCATAACATTTTAGTAACTCGATAACATCACATTCTGATCTCATTTGCTTTACTCTCATGTCCAAACTGTACCTAGGAACCCTATAATATATGTCAAGATTCACCCCTTCTCTAAATGATACATACATACCTATAATCTCAAGCAAAGAAAATTTGTTTGGTTTGCAGTCTTCAATAACACTTATAATACCACATTTGTAAACAATTTTTGGTGTTCACATGAACTTTTCCCCATGATGCAATTCGACAACAAATTTGTCCCAACCCATTCTACATTAAAAGATGTACATTGATACAATAAACAAAACAGTGGGGAAACCTTTGTCCCCTTGTACCCATCCAAAATCACCACAATAATATTTCTCTTTTTGTATATATTATAAGTTAGTTTGGTTGTCGTATTAAAAATTAATAGATTAGATAAAATAATACAATATAATAC